TCAAACTGTCCATCTAGCTATCCAGAAATGGCTCAAGTTGTGAACAATAATTATCTTTATGAGATGCAAACGATAATGTATCCTTGATAAATCTATAGGAAATCTACCAGTAAGACGTCAGGTCCAGGTCTGATGCCTCCACCCCGAGCAAGGACCCAGACATCACGTTTGGCTAGCCAAATTTCTTTCAGATCTCGTGAGAAGCATCCATTTGAAAAAGAAGTTGCATTAACTGGGTAGGGGAATGTCACTTGATCTCACTCATGATTGGTCATAACACAATAAACATTCCAGACATATTTTAATAATTTTTTTTTGTTGTTGCAGCTTTTCAAACCTGGGGAATACATGTTATATGAATGCCATTCTTCAGTCACTGCTTGGTGTGCCGCCCTTTGTTCAGGATCTTTCAAACAAGGCTTTGTTGGAAAATGTTCATCCTCAGGGACTGTATAAGTAAGTTTGAAGATTGCATTTTGGTTCTAGAGTTAACTTTATGATTGAAAACAGAACAATAGCTTTTTTTCTGAATTTCTGTTTGGGGACTGATATTTCAAAATTTATCACTGTGTGCCTGTCTGTCCAGATGCTTGGCTGTCTGTCTAGATGATTGACAATTTGGATTGACTGACAACTTGAAGTGATGGACAACTTGGGTTGCCTGATTGACAACTTGGATTCATGACCACTTAAATAGATTGACAGTTTAGGTTGCATGATTGGAAGTTGGTTTGATTGGCAACTTTGATTGATTGACAACTTAGACTGATTGACAATGTAAGATGATTGACGACTTGGGTTGATTGACTACTTGGTTTCATTGACAACTTTGGCCTGTTGTCAACTTATATTGAGTGATTGAAACATGACTGAATTAATTGGTTCCTTGGACTGATTGACAACTTTGGCGAGTGACAGCTTAGTCTAGCATATACATGTACAGTTAGCATGGTTTTCCTGTTTTTTAAATAATGAACRTATTYCTCTTGTCTTTCTATTACAGTTGTCTTTACAATGTGTTATGCTGCAAGAAGAAATGTGGAAATCCTGAGGTGCTAAAAACTTGCTTGAGGAAATTAAAAAAAACAATCTCAGAGGCTGCCACTCGTTTCTCAGGATACCATCAACATGTAAGAGACATTTCACTACAAGTCCTTTTAATAACAGTTGGACCCCACTTATTTGAACTTGATTATTTTGAACTCCCTGGTATTTCAAACTCAAAACCATTTTCTTTGGATATGCCCCTTAATCATTTACTATCAGCTATTTCAAACTCCTGCCATTTTGAATTATATTTCATTTCCCTTAAGATTTCGAAACAATGGGATTCAACTGTACCTCACTGCAAACTCCATGCATGAGAACACAAGCAACCAAGACTCCAAGAATGAGATTTGCTTAACACAATAGAATCATCCATGTCCATGTATTAACTTTGTATGTTTTTTGTAGGATGCTCATGAATTCTTGTGTCAAGTGTTTGATCAGCTGAAAGATGATGTTAATACTTGCGATTCACCCTCATCTAAAGATGCTTCTAAAGAGAGCAACAATGTGGTAAGAAATGAGTGAATTATTTCAACTA